CATATCAGCTGGACACTTCACCTTCAGCTCTAGCCCTCTCATTCCACAACTCTTTGGTCATTAGTGTCAATGCATCAAGTCTGTTTTTGAAATCATTTTTACATGTAGGTGGGATATACTCAAGATTATATTTTGGTTCTCATTTTGGACTTCCTTTCAATTTCTTCAACTGCACCTGGAACGTCCACATCAGCAATTGATGATCTGCTATGCAGATGCTGTTCTGCAGACCATCAATTGCTGATGTGCAAGCTCAGGTTGTTTTGACTGATGATATTGAACTTTTCCATTGGTTCTCTACTGATGTATTCTATTTGACACTGAAGTATATCTGTCCAGGTCTATGTGTATGGTAGACATTTATGCTGTTTAACAAAAAGAAAAATTGTTTACAATGAATAAGCCCTTGGTCTTGTAAAATTCCATCATGTCATTTTTGGCTTTGTTTCTATCGCCAAGGTCATGTTTACAACTAATAATCCTTCCTCTTTGTTTCCAACTTTCACATTCCAATTACTAGTAAAAATTAATGTATATTTTTGCATGGTTGATCATTTTCAGACTGAAAAAGTTGGTTATTGTTGTTGTTAATTGCTGTCGAGTCAGTTCTGACCCATAGCAACACTGTACAGGGTTTCTAATGCTGTAAATCTTTACGGGAGCAGAAAGCCTCCTCTTTCTCCCATGGAGCGGCTGGTAGTTTCGAACCTTCAAATTCTTCATCTTTGGCAGTATTGGCTGATGGGTAAGTTTGAATAATAATTGCATTATATTTGGTCTTCCTCATAACCTTCTAGGCTATCACTGATAGCATTGCATTAGGATAGATCTTGAGATTATCTTTTTGATGATGAATCTGGCACCATTTCTCTTTGATATCCCCACTGTATTAGAACATTTTATTACTCACTTCTACATGGCCAAACCAGTCCATTTCAACTCACTAATGCCTAGGACATCAATCTTTATGCAGTCCATTTCATTTTGACAAATTCAAATTTTCCTAGATCCATACTTTCTCATTCTATGTCCTGATTATTAATGTCATTTTGTAGCTCTTCCTTCTCATTTTGAATCCTGCCACATCAGCATAAGGGTCCCCAAAACTTTTTTTCATCCATATCATTAAGAGTGACTGCTTCGAGGAGCTAGTTCTTCCCTTGTTATATTTTGAGTGTCTTCCCACCTGAGTGGCTCATCTCCCAGGAATATAGCATACAATGCTTCACTATTACTCAGAAGTTTTCCAGTGACCATCTTTCCAGAAGCAGAGCACCAGGTCCTTCCCCATAGTCTGAATTAGTCTGAAATCTCTGCTGAAACCTGTCTACTCTGGTGACCCTGCTGGTATTTGGAATACCAGTGGTATAGGTTGGAGCATCACAGCTATACACATTCCATCACAGTATTACAGACTGACAGGAGAATCAGTGAACTAGTGGAGGAATTAAATAATGGGTATAATTTAACAAAATTAAAGGATGTTTCAAGTAAATGCTCAATTATTACAGCAAAAAGCCAATAAATGATGTTTTAGTGTTCATACATCAAAAAGCAATGGCATAATCTTGTTACTTATAGATTTGAAATTAACCACATAAAAGCTAAATACAGAAAGAGTTAAATGTGTTCTCTCTGAGGAAGGAGTGAGGAAGCTAACATGGGAGGTAGGGGTCTGTTGCTTTATTTAATAAGCCTTTGTGTAACCGTGATTTTTCTTTTTCTAAAAATACACTCACATGTGATTTTAAACTAAAGCTACTTTTTCTTCTTCTGCTTGACTTGTTAGCTTACTAGCTTTGTCAAAATGGACTTTTAACATGATTAAGTCCATTACCAGTACCATGCCTACTAATTAATTCCATTTTCTCTAACACTTCCTTGTCTCCATTCTTTACCTCCCTCCTTGCTTTATGCTCCTTCCCATTCCTGAATTTCTGTATGTGCATGTACTCAAACCCACACACATGTGCACACAAACCTTCTTTCCAAATGCAGTTAGATACCTTTCTCAATAAATGCCATGTCATCTTATGCCTGTGCCTTTTTTCAAACTGTTTCTATGGTTTGAAATGGCTTTATCTAATTTTGTTTTTCCTATTAAACCTTCAAGGCACAGGATAACTTCTGCTTTTTCCATGAGCTTTGGTTTCCAGAGTCAGAAATTATTTCTTTTTGTTTGTGCCCGTCTACCACAAAACCACTATCAGATACTTACTTGTTATACTCTATAGTGTCTTACAAGTTGTTGTGTTTGTATCTTCTTCCTTTCATTTCTGCTCAGTTGCAAGTGCTAAAGTTCAGGAATTTGTGTCTGCATACTTCCATTTGTGTCCACAGACTTCTTGCAATACAGTGCACATGGTATTGAAACAGTGTGTAACCACTGCATGAATAAGTTGATGTTTTGTTGTTGTTGTGGCTGGGTTAGAAGACATCTAAGATGGTGCACTGAAGGCCCCTACACAATAAGAGGAGCATTAGTTATGTATTTATTAAGGTGTTTATTGTTTCTCTCTTAGCAATACCCTGAAATATATAATGTTTTATTCTTTCACACCTTAATGTCTCTTCCATAACTTCCAAAAATATACACATCATCTTAGAGAATGAGAAATAAACTTAATGAACTAATATCTAGGAATAAATGTTAGTAAAATATTAATTTTATAGGACTGTTTGTATTACAAAACTAACCTAGAGAGGGAAATGCCTTTTGTAAGGAAATGAATTGTCAGTATGGAATCTCAAGTTCCTGAATGTTATTTTGAGCTCTATCAGCATTTGATGCTCAGATCATGATGTTCTTGTTATTAAGTGCTGTTGAGTCAGTTCTGACTCATAGTGATCCTGTATAGGGTTTCTGAGTAGCACCTGGTGGGTTTGAACTGCTGACCTTGTGAATCACAATCCAGTGCTTATCTTAGAGTGCCACATAGAGCTATGTAACTCTTATGCTATGTTGTTGTTGTTGTTAGGTCCCATTGAGTCAATACTGACTCATAGTGACCTTATGCACAGCAGAACGAAACACTACCCGATCCTTGGTCGTCCTCACTACTGATGCCACACTTGAGTCCATCGAAGCTGACACTTGGCCAATCCACCTCATTGGGGTTCTTCCTCTTTTTCTCTGACCCTCCACCTTACCAAACATGATATCCTTCTCCAGTGACTGGTCTTATGCTATAGATATCTGCAATTGAGTCAACGCAGACTTATGAAAAATCATGCACAATGAAATGAAGCTCTACCCCATTCTAGTAGTCTATTACTGTCATCTATAGAGTTTTCATAGGCTGGTGTTCAGAAGTAGATTGTAAAACCTTTCTTCCTAGTCAGTATGGAAGTTCCCCTGATGGGTTTCCAGTATGGATGCTGCTGCTCTTTGAAATACCAGTAACATTATTCCTAGCATCATAGCTTCAAAGATAACATAGCAAACTCCTGGGTGAATCATGTTGTTTGTTGCTGTTAAAGGCTGGCTAGTTATTTCCAATTCATAGTGACCCTGTATAGGGTTTCCAAGGAGCATCTGGTAGGTTAACAATCCTGTGCTTATCTTACAGAGCCACACTAGGATCATGTAGACTCTAATTAATTAAAACATTAAGACAGTGTGGAACACTTTTACACATTAAAACTCATAGATTTGAAATCACAGTTATGAAGTGTAACTTATCTCATAGAAGTATAAGATAATATTGCAATGAAATGGCACCAACCATCTCCCCCACAGCACTCTCTACTCAAGTGGTTTCAGTAATTCATTGCAGTGGCCATACATAACAGACTCCCTACTCACAGTAATGGGTTTATTAGGGATGATGTTGTTTTGAAGTGCCGTAGAGTCACTATGACTCATGGCGGCCCTGTATAGGGTTTCCAAGGAGCAGCTGGGGTGAGTTTGAACCATTGCCCTTGTGGTTCAAAGCAACCTTGTGGTCCTGTGCTTTATCCCATAGTACCACAAGTCAGAAGTACAAATGCTAAGTCAGAAGAGCCACTCTTCCACTGTGCCCATAGGTAACCACTCTCTGGTGTTGGCTCCTTGGCCTGGCGTCAGCCCTGCTCTGACAGTGTTACAAAGCTCTTTTAGGGCTGTTAATAAATCCCTATAAGGCACAGCACTCCCCTGTAAACCTCAGCCTGAAGGCACTTGACTCTGTGGTTCATCAAACCTAACTCTTCTTCAATGAAGTGCCTAAAGCCACCCCACTCTGCAAGCAAGCCTCCTGCCCAAAGTTACTCAGCTTTATTTGCTCTTCAGACTGGCAAGCATACTGCTTTGTCTCTTGTTCTGGCTCTTGGTTTGACTCTACTGCTCCTCTGCTACTCCTCCATTGTCACAGATTTCTAGCCCGAGTTTGAGGAGGTTCAATGTGCAGGAATATTGGGACCCAAAGGACATACTCTATCCCTGGCTCTTCTTCTTGATTGTACAGACAGCTCATGTCTTCTAATGAGATGGTTCATTTTATATCAAACAATATGGCACAATTCACCAACCAAAGCTGGCCTTGTTAGCAGTGCCTCACAACAGAATTATATAATCCATACTGCATCTTCCTCTACCTTCTCTTTTTCAGACCCCTCAGCAAAGAGTTTGTTGGTGGAAGTTTACAGACTGTGGTTTGTGTTGTTAATGTTAAATATGTAAGTGTTGTCGAGTCAGTTCTGATGAATAATGATCTGTATAGGGCTTCCGAGGAACAGCTGGTGACTTTGAACTACAGTCCTTGTGGTTAACATTGCAGGGCTTAACTTGCAGTGTCATACTAGGACTATGACTAGTGGAGACATTAAATAATTCACTGTACCACAAATTGTAACCTCTGGTTTTCACTTCTTATTCTTATTTCCCAGTTTGTCTTTTCACATGTACTTACTTTATCTCTTTTCTGTTTTGTTCTTTTAACTTTTATACTGCTACCTGCGCCTAAATTATAATCTGCATCCACTGGAAAGCATACTATAATTTTATTTTTTCTTTACTACAGGAAACACCACAATAAAACAATCTCGATACAGGATTATCATTCAAGATGCAGCCAATGGAGGCCAAGAATGCCCAGATACTTTATATGAAGAGAGAGAGTGTGAAGATGTTTCATTTTGCCCAGTGTACCGGTAATTAACTAGCTCTTTAAGTAGTCATTAGACCTTCATATAAATCACAACAGATTTCCTTTCAGTTAATATATATTTTTTAATGGAAATCAGAGATAATGTTGTATATCGTTAAATACCTCACTGTTTTCCTTTCTTTCCTAGAATATATTTGTAGTTCATAATATGAAAGTTTAATTTACAGAAGAAAAATGTACTTTAATTGTAAGCAAGCCCTTGGAATTCTGGTATCTAGGAACTCTTTAAGAGCCATGATCTAAAGAGATGAAAGATTAAATATTTACCAGGTTTTATATGTATGGTGGTGGTTATGTGCTGTGGAGTCGGTTCTGACTCATAGCGACCCAGTGCAGGGTTTCCGAAGCTGTAAATATTTACAGGAGCAGAAAGCCTCACCTTTCTCCCACAGAACAGTTGCTAGTTTCGAACTGTTGACCTTGCAATTCGCAGTCCAATTCGTAACTACTACACTACCAGAGCTCCTTTATATGTATATATACACGCATACATGCATATATGTATACATGTATGTATGTTTGTAAATACACACATACATATATGTATACACATACATATATGTATATGTACACACACACAAGGGGACTTCAAAGATTTTGTGGAAGTTTTTCATTATCTTTCAAATCCATTTTTTCCATGAACTTTTGAAACCCTCTAGTACTAGTATATTATCTAGTATTGCTATGACAGAAATACCGTAACTGGATGGATTTAACAAACATAAATTTATTGCCTCACAGTTAGGAGACTATTTTATAATATATATATTATATATTCATTATAGAACATAGTAGGGTTAATCTATATAATAGAGTAAGAGTAAGCTTATAGATGTTATAAATGTGTTTATTTGTAATTCTAAAGCCTTAATCAAAACTAGAAACAATTTGTACTCACAGTCACTTCACAATTGTTTAAAAATACTTTTGGTTTCAGTTTTCATTATATATACATTTTAAGGAACCATCTCATTAGAAAGTAAATTACCTTAAAGATTATTATTTTTTTTTTAAAGAAGAAAATGAGTATCTTTTAAACTGAATATATTCCCTCTTGGTGTGTTGATAATTATTATTTATAAGTGCAGTGCCGGAGACTTTGGTGCTTTGTCATAAACCTTTACTCTTTTAGCACATGGTAGTTTTAAATTTGATAGAAACATTGATTTAATACCTGAATTCAAATTGATCACTGTTGGATTTTATGGATTTGTAAAAATAGTACATACATTTAAAATTCATATCAGCACATTAACAAATGACTTTAACAAAAATGCATCATGCATCACCTAAGTCTTTGAAATTCAAAGGGTAATTTATTGAGGAAAATTTGAATTATTTTTAAAGAAGATTCTCCTCCCCTAATTAGATAAGCTTAGGTTGTCAGTGAAGATGTGTAAATTAAAATTTATTTTATCATCCTTTACTTCCATTCTTTCTGATGACTGCATTAGAGAGGATGAAAATAGGAATATGCCCCCAAATTGACAGTTTGTCCTCATTCACCCATAAAGCCGTGGTGACAACTGTCAAGTGCACATTCTTTTGTGCCATGTGTAATTATTGACACTTCTGAATCCGGCAAAAGAGCTCTCAAGGAAAATAGCCAAGAAGAAAGAGCCAAATCAAATATTATCAGATATCTTTTTGAACCCAGGGTTATTCTGAGCCGAGAACATTCTAGAAACCCTTAATGTGCTCTTCCAGTTTATTTTACTGTGGTGGCTTGAATGTTGATATGATACTCTAAGCTATACCACCAGTGTTTGAAATATCAGCAGGCTCACCCATGGTGGACAGTTTTCAGTGGAGCTTCCAAATTAAGACAGATGAGGAAGGAGGAAAGGTCAACCACTTCTGAATGGTTAGCCACTAAAAAAAATGTACACGTGGTACTGTAGAATTAACACTGGACCACAAGGTCAGTTTTAACCACAATGTCAGCAGTTCAAACTCACCAGCTGATACTTGAAAACTCTATATAGGACTGCTATGCGTCGAAACTAATTCTATGGCTCTTAACAAGGATGATGAGACTTCATCTATCATACTTCAGACATGTTATCTAGAGGGACCAGTCCCTGGAGATCATGCTTAGTCAAGTGAGGGGTCAGCAAAAAAAGAGGAAGACCCAACAAGATGGACTATCACAATGGCAGCTGCACTAGGTTCAAATGTAACAATAGTGAGGATGGTACAGAAATGAGCAATGTTTCTTTCTCTTGTGCATAAGGTTGCTATGAGTTGGAACCAACAAAAGCAGCAGCCAGTATATTGTCCACTCTTTTTACTTTCTTTCGGAAACTGTACTTAAATTAAGTCACTTTTGTTTGAACTAGTTTCCATCATTGACCTCCTATGGATTAGATCCTTGTATCACTTCTCCTAATGGATAATTTAAAATATACCCATGTTACCAAAACAATTCTTTGCTCTTTAGTAAAATAAAATTTAAGCAACGTGGTACCAGTTTAGGTTTTGTTTTTTTCCCTCAGTGGTATGTTAGGGAAACAGGTATGATACGCAAGTTGACGTAGCCCTTTATGATTATCTTATGATTCTTTTTACTCCATTAAGGTAATATATGCACACATTCACTAAACAAAAACAGAATCAATGTGCCTATATAATTTGCTCTTTGAATATGAACACTCGCCTGCACGGTAAATTAGAAAGTAAAATGGAAGACAGCATTTGTAACTTTATGCCTACTAAAATTGGCAATGTGGTATCGCCTAATGGGCCTTCATTGAGCACCCAGGGAATAAGAACTAACAACTTGTCTGTCCTAACTTGGGCAATCTTTAACTTAGCATTTAACTTCTTTGAACCCATGTTTGTCATCCAAAAATGTAGTGTTTAAAGGGCTGCTTGAATCCTATTCTTTCAGTCTATTCAGGAAACTAAAATAAATCAAATTGTTTTCATTTTGGTCTAGGAAGCCTTTGTAAACTCAGTTTATTTGATATGAATCAATGATGTGGATTAAAACTTCTTTAGTTTCTGAAGAATACAATTTTGTGATATTTTTATGTTATGTTGGAATGATGCCCAAAGAGTATATGTATGAAGAAATAACTTGACAACTATTTAAAAGTAATTTATTTAAATGTGTCAGGTTTTACAATTTAGCTGTTTCCTGATTCATCCTTAATTCTCCAAGTATTCCCAATACAGAAACCATTTGAATGAGATCACTGGTATTTTCACTTTGCATTTCTGGTCCATATTTTGAAGTAACAATTCTCATTAGAAGTTTTGATTCATATGAAAAAGTATAAAAAGTGTACTAAGTAAAAGAGAAGAATCTGTAATTACACTGAGGACTTCATAGATCACAGTGAAAAGGGAGGTTTAAGGACATAAATCACGGGATATTCTGTGAGTAATCTAAATAGGAAGTTCTGTTGATCTCAGAAAGGAAAAACATTGGAAAGCCAGGTTTCTTTAACGATGGTTTCTGCTAAGAAACAGAAATCTTGATATTCCATCTGGGTGGGGCCATTCCTATTCCCCTAAAATGAACTATCACATAAAATTAGTCTTTGTTCCCACTCTCCTCATGCTCTATAAAGTTTTGAGGTGTTGAGCTACGTCAAAGTCCTAAGAAATATCTTAGAACAAATTTGAAACAGGAGATCAAATGTGAAGTTTGTTCTCAAACTTTATTCTCTAATGCTCCAATGGGGCATAGGAATTTTCTTCTCTCCACTCCTTTTATTTTTTCAAGCAATGTTACATTCATAAGAAGCTCAGTTTTGTAGATTTGATCTGTGCTTCCAATACTTTTATTGCCACTTTGCTGTATGAACTGAGGTTTATATCCAAAATGTCCACATTAAAATTTGGGGGATTAAGGCATTAATTATACAAAATAGACTCTTGTCATCCCTAGTGATTGCCAGGGTCTGATTTTATGATGTTGGTTTCATATCCATTTTCATTCAATTCTATCTTTACGATTTTGAATTTCAGTTGGGTCTGCTTTGTTTATTTTCTTTGTAAGTTTGTTCAGATGATATTTCTAGCCTGCTGTTCTTTGTTATCACAGGTGGAAGCCACAGAAGTGGGGCCCTTGTGTCTTAGTGCCAGAGTCTGTCAGACAGGGAATAATGGGCACCAGTGAAGCCTGTGGTAAAGGGCTACAGACTAGAGGTAAGTGGATAGTGAAATGTTGTATGTTTCTCTTCAAATGTAATTTAATATTTTACTCTTATAATTTGTTTCTTATTTTCATATTTGAATGAACTATATTATTTGACTGAATTATTTACATTTGTCAATGAGTTCAAGCTCGATATTAGTTCATTTTGATAGTGGATTATCTTAACTCTATCAGTTAGAGCATCCAAGGACAAAAGTAACATATCTATGCTTAATCATAACATACCCCAAGGATGTTCCTAATTCATGGTAGTTATTAACCAGGAAATGAAGACAATGTCAAGATCGTTACTGTTGTTGTTATTAAGTGCCATTGAGTCAGTTCTAATAGTGACCCTGTATAGAGTTTCCACGGAGTGGCTGGTGAGCTTCAACTGTTGACCTTGTGGTTCAAACCAACCTTGTAGTCCATTACATCAATCCACAGCACCACATCAGGACTACATGTAAAGATTACACCCAGCTATACACATTACACTTCTTAGTTGCTAACAAGTATTTCTTGAAAAAAATGAAAAACAGCTGTATTAATTGTCTAATCTTAACAATCACAACTTAAACAGAACTATTATATATATATGTGTGTGTGTGTATGTGTTTTATACATAATATGACACCTGCTGTGGCACTTTAAATAAGCCCTGAACTGCTAATCATAAGGTTGGCAGTTCAAACTCACCAGTTACTCCTCGGAAACCCAAGAGGGTCGCTATAATTTGAAACCAAGTCAACAATGTGTAACAACAACTACTACTACATAATATACAAAGAAAAAGTGGCCTTTATGATTTCTGAAAGAGATTGGGAATAAGTTTCTGGATCTCAGTAGAGTGAGTTTTATCAACTTCTGTAGTACATCAGATATTAAGGAGCACCTATGATTAAGCACATGATTGCTAACAAAAACATTGGTAGTTCAAATCCACACACCACTCTGTGGAAGAAAGATGTGACAATCTGCTTCTGTAAATATTTATAGCCTTGGAAATGCTATGGAACAGTTACACTCTTTCATACAGGATCATTATGAGTTGCAACTGACTTGACAACAGTGAGTTTCATTTGGTTTTGGTTGGTGGCAATATTGTTCAGGACTACAAGTAATATTTCTAATGTCTGTCTCTGGAAATCTCACAGAATCATCATACTGTCACCCTTTTATTTCATTCATAATCCAGGTGACAATGATAGGAGGATGCTAAGAAGTGCTTTGTCCTTAAAATGCAGCCTCTTTGTTACAAGGAGATATATCTAACAGAATTAGACCTCTCTGTTTCAGTAGAGACTTTGGAAATGAGGTTACTGTCAGAACATTTGCCAGTGTCAGTTTGACCACATATTTTGATCCAGGACTGCCAGGAGGATATCGAGTGCCTTCCTGCAAATAAAAGAAAAAGCTCACTCTTTAAAAATTTTAGTTCTGTCTTTCAGAAAATTGCTGTAATACGTTCTCGCTGTAGTAACAATTGTGCATAGTTTCTCAAAGAAACTGTGAAGTCATGTACTGGTGGATGAGACCTATATAAATGTTACCTTAGTAAAATGCCCAGTTTAACTCTACATGGAGACATGGGTTTTGAGAGTGTGATACTAGCCTGGCTTAAAGGTAGTTTTCATTGTTGTTGTTGTTTTTGCCGTTGAGTTGTTTCTGACTCATAAGGACCATATACACAACAGAATGAAACATTGCCCAGTCCTGCACCGTCCTTACAATTGTTGCTGCTGCTGCGTAAATTCATCTTGTTCTGGCCTTCCTCTTTTTTGCTGACCCTTCATATTTCCAAGCATGTTGTCCTTCTCCAGGGTCTGGGTCCTCCAGACAGTAGTCCAAAAAACAAAAGATGAAGTCTTACCATCCATGCTTAGGAACATTCTGGCTGCACTTCTTCCATCGCACATTTATTTGTTCTGGCAGTCCATGGTGTCTTTAAAATTCTTCTCCACAGCTGAATCATGTCATCGTATCAGTATCTTCTGCTGCCTTCTTTTACCCAAACCGAGCAAGGCAGAAGCGTTGTTTTGTGGGAGTTATAAACTGTGGCTGCAAGAGACATTAGATAATTCATGATACCACACTGTGGGATTCTTCAAATTAAAAATAAGAATGAAAGCAGAAGGACAAGCAGGATTATAGCTGGAGGGAAAAGTCTGTATTACTTCCTTGAACTTTTGGATTCCACTATCCTAGTTGTCTGAAGGTGACAGTGATTATTCACTGGTAGAATTCTTCTCTTCCACGAGATAGGTCCAGGTAAGATACCTGGTTAAAGTAGCTTATGTGTAGCTGTCATCCCTCTGACATTGAGACTTAGGTATTGCTATGGGACTGACTAGGTTTCAGCAGAGGTTCCAGGTTAAGACAGATTGGGAAGAAAGACCTGGCAATTTCTTTCTGAATGTCAGCCACTGAAATCCCAATGGTCATTAATAGTCTGATATGCAACAGATAATGGGAACAATGCAAAACCAGGCAATGCTGCCTTTGTTTGTATGTAGGTTTCTGCATGAGTTGTGGCTGACTCCATAGCAGGCTAATAATAGTTCTCTGAAACTTCAAGGAGAGCTGGGTTTTCTTGCACAACTACGTGTACGACCCTTGAATAGAGAAGGGATGGTGGCTCAACCTTTGTGCAAAATCAAAGTATGAGAGAAAGAAATAGATATCCAAACATTCTTTGAAGAAACTGCCGTTCAAAAAGTAAAACTTTACCTGTCTTTTTTTTTTTTTTTTAAAGAAAAATGCTGACAGTTTTAGAAGGGCAGCCAGTTCATTTTTCTTTAGGCCTATTCTTACTTTGCTATCCACAATTACTACTTCAAAATACTGTAATAGACTTTCCAGAGTTTTCTGTTTGAACAATACTTTCTTCTTTCTGTGAGTGTACTCTATCATCAGCTGAATGACTCAAAGTCTGTGGCACTGTATGGGATACAGAGCAGGTGTTGGAGATTGAATTTGTCTTGTCTAAGCTATCCTTGGCTGCCATGGGTGCATGCTTTCTTTTTTGGCTAATTTTCACTGAACATTGTTTTTGTGAACCAAAGGAGGTAGACCTCTAATCTCTGTGACATCTTTTTCTTCTTTCTTAATTTCTTTTTGTCTCAGTGAGAGATGTGTTCTTCTTGCACAATAGTTTTGATGGAGTACGTTTGTTTTTTTCTCTTTGTTTTGAGGGAATTTCTTTCAAATAAAGATATTTCACCAGAGAACATAGGCTAAATAATCAACTTTTAAAATGAGTTCTGGGCTACATTTATTTAAATATATATATATATATATAAAGAAAGGGATTAGATATAAGTAAGGTGAAGTCAAGGAGGAGGGTGGCTTAATCCTTAATATTAGGGTAATTATTTTGATTATTCACTAATGAAAATTTATGTAAATGCATATTTAAGCTTGTCAGACATTTTAGACAGATATCTTTAACTTCACAAACTATTTCCATTTTATATTTATTTTTCATATGATTTAATTTTTTAGAGTTGGTTTACATCTCTTGTTCCAGATTATGTATTTTATATAAAACTATATATCCTTATAAAACAAAGGCAAGTGAATATCACATTACATCACCTGGATTCAGAGAAAATGATTCAAGCCGGTTCAAGCTCACCAGCTGCTCCTTGGAAAGCCTATACAGGGTCGCTATGGGTTGGAATCAACTCAACGGCACTGAACAACAACAACATATATTCTTATGAAACAAAGGCAAATGAATATCACATTACATCACCTGGATTCAGAGAAAATGATTCATAAAGAAAATCTGAGCACCCTAATTCTCTGGCAGAAAATTAACTTTCCTTAATTATGTTGCTTTCATTTAGTGGAGGGTACAGCCAAAGATGCTAAGCCACTGTTAGCTTATCAGCCAGCTTTCATCTGAAAACCACACACTAATATAGAACATCATGCTTTGTAAAGTGGAGGGTCAGCGATAAAGAGGGAGACTCCTGAGATGGATTGGCACAGAGGCAGCAGTAGTGGGCTTAAGTATAACAATTGTGCGGATAATGCAGGACCAGGCCATGGTTTGTTCTGTTGTGCATAGTGTTGCTGAGTGGGAACCAATTTGATGTCTCCGAACAACAACATATATAGCAAACACTAACAACAACAACAAAAAAAAAGACCCCATATCATTGCTGTTGAGTTGACTCAGACTCATGATGTCCCCACATGAGTATCACAGTAGAACTGCACTCCATATGGTTTCAATGGCTGATTTTTGAGAAGTAGATCCCTAGATCTTTCTTCCAAAGTGTCTCTGTAAAATGTCAGAATAACCAATACATCCATCGTACTCTCTTTACGATGACAAGTATCCTTGTGCTGCCTAAGGAACGGAACTCATAGTCACTTAGCCTTTCACTTGTACAGCTTCGTTCTCTGTCATACTTGCCTAACACAGGCCACAAACAAGTCACCTCAATAGATTCAGAAAGGAAAACAGACAAACACAGAACCTTTGAACTAGGTCTGAGCAATTGCCAGACACACATGTTTATTTTGTCTTTAGTGTGGAAGGGAAAAAGATTTGCTGGAAAGGAAAGTGCAGGAACTTCTTCTACTTCAAGAGTTGGATATAAATGAGCTGCATTAGCTAGTAGCTTTGAGCCTTTCCAGAAGAGTGGGAAAAAGGTTAGCCTACCTCAAACATTCTTTTCACAGTGGTAACTATTTCTAAATTAGGAATAGACATGTGTTGTATGATTTTGGGGGCGGGGGGCATAACACCACCTCTACTCCCCAACCAACCTATTGGGGTTTCTGTCATAGGCAACCACCAAATTTGCATTTAAATAAACTATTTTCAGTAAGTTTGGTAAGCTCATTAGAATGTTGCTTACGTTTATCTCATAGGGAAAAATGATCTAATCCTAATATTCTTTCTGTAAAAAGTCATTCTTTGGGGGACTTCTAATTTTAATTTTGACTTCAACACCAGAATATGCAATTGGAAGGAATTGTCTTTATTAATATATCT